CTTATGTATACATATATATATATATATATATATAGATATGAATGTATGGAAGTATGTATGCATGTATGTATGTATGTATGTATGTATGTATGTATGTATGGATGTATGTATGTATGTACGTACATACATACATACCTCGGAGAATGAGGATGAACGGGTAGGTTGTTGTGTCATAGTATTTGTCACATGATACTTATCCACAATTTGTACAACAGATGCGAAGGTTCGTACACGTTCAAATACTCTTAAACTTCACAAGATATTTGTTCTATATCTCATCCGCACATACTATCATAGATAGGAAGATGATTAAACTCAAACTCGCGGTTTAGATTGATTTTTTGTTTACAATTCATATATCCTTTTTTTCATCCCCAAATACTATCATTTTCTATCACTTACTATCACATAGTATCACATACTATCACACACAATCACATACTATCACATACTATCACATACTATTACATACTATCACATACTATCACCTGATATCACATACTATTACATACTATCACGTACTATCACATACTACCACATACTATCACATACTGCCACCTACTATCACATACTATTACATACTATTACATACTACCACATACTATCACATACTGCCACCTACTATCACATACTATTACATACTATTACATACTATTACATATTACTACATCCAATCACATACAATCACATACTATCAAATACTATTACATACTATCACATACTATCTCATCCCCACATACTAACGCATGCTATCACAGATGGGAAGATGCTTAAGCTTACGGTAGAGATTGATCGGTTGTGGGGTGGCTGTGAGATGTCGCAGGTAGTTCATTGGAGCGGTGCTTTGCTGCAGACACCCCATCGCGCCGTCAAACAGCAGTCCACGTGCCCGTCCGAGATCTACTGCTCGTGGTGGTCTCATGGTAGGTAGCGATCTATAAATAGAACTTGATAGGGTGGTGGCATGGTGTTGTTGGACACGTGTTTGCACGAGATCTGCTGCTCGTGGTGTTCCCACGGTAGGTAGCGATCTATAAATAGAACTTGATAGTGTGTTAACACAATAGTGCTCGTAGAAGTACAGCTGATCTTCCGTTTGAGATCCACTACTAATGGTAATCGCATGGTAGTCGACGAGTTGTTCATAGAATAGTTAAGCCTGCTACGATATTGTTTGTAACATACGCCAGCGTGCCCTAGCTCTGTCGTTGATGTCGTCTTTCACACAGTCTCCACAGTTTATTTGGACATGCCTTTTACATTAGAACAATACCATACTTTATGTCTCTGTGTTACACATTAGATATATTCGTTTCGCTCAGTCACAGCAACTGCTCCAGAGTGCTCATCCCATCCCATCCCATCCCATCCCATCCCATCTCATCTCATCTCATCGTTTGGTGTCTTTGTTTGTGTGTCGTTGTGTGCGTTGTAGGGTCCCCGGCTGAGAAGTATGGCCTGCACGCGACCATCTTCATCACAGAAGTCAACGACGTGGTGGTGAAGACGATTGACGATTTCTTGTCGGTGATCGCACAGTTGGATACAAAAGAGTTCATACGCCTAAGGGCAAGTGAGTACAACAGTCGAGTGCGACAGCACAGGCACAACACTTGCAGCACTTACTATACGTGTAGTACGTCTATTGCATATACTACTTGTGCTACTTGAGATACATATTTTAATCACAATACTTGTGATACGTCTATTACAGACACTACGTATGCTATTATTCATACGCCTAAGGGCAAGTGAGTATAACAGTCGAGTGCGACAGTACAGGCACAACACTTGAAGGACTTACTATACGTGTACTACGTCTATTGCATATACTACTTGTGCTACTTGAGATACATATATTAATCACAATACTTGTGATACGTCTATTACAAACACTACATATGCTATTGTAAATTGATACATGACTCACAACATTCGTAATAATTGTAATACTTACAAAACCCTATAATCCTACAACACTTCTAATACTGACGCACTACTGACCAATCCATCCGTACCACACCACACAGTCAACCTCAACAGCAAGGAGTCCGTGTTAACTATGCTGGTTGATTACCAGTACTGGCCTACATGGGTTATATCACGGAAGGACCGCAAGTGGGTGTCCGAGGACTTAGCGTATATGCACATGAAGACGGACAGCAGCACATAGCCACGTGATGGATTGGCCGTTAT